AAGTGCTTCTAACTCTATGGGAATACCAAACAGCATGGTAATTTTTGCCAAAGTAATTTGGTAACGATTTCGGTGAAATTAATAATAAAATATTGTTTTATAATATGTTTTAAAATTTGCTAAATGTGGCAATTTTTTCACAATACTTTAGAGCAAGGAATAAAAACCTTTTATTTCGTTAAATTTATTTTTAATTCTTGTATTTTTTACTAAAAGTGTTGTAATAAGAACTTTAATAACAAAAACCGAAATTTCCGCTAGCCCTTACCATGGAAAAATTTATGATATAAATGGTTAAAATAGCGGATATTACCGTTTTATGAAGCAAAATTATTATTTCCAGAAATGTATTTACTGTACAGTGGTGTAATTGCACTAGAATTTTTTTCTCCATGAAGTAAAAATATTTTTGCTCTAGACTATAAGGAATTAAAAAAAACTATTCGTTCTAAAATAGTATGGAAGCATAAAACAGCTCCAGTTCACGAGAACTTTAAAAAAAAATTTTTTTAAACATTACAGTGAGTGTTCATTTTCAACCCCAATTATATTAGTTCCTTTGATGGAAATTTTCGTTATTGTTCATCTTATTAAGGAGGAAATGAACTACCATTACTATTAAGGTCTCTCAGACAAGCATCTATAACGAAACATTTTAACATGCTATGATGGTAAGCATGATTGTATAAAAATATCATTTTATAATAATTTTTATCATGATGCATAAAATAGATATAATTTTTTAACTTTTTTTATTTATATTTACTATGCATTTTCCTTTTTATATTGTAAAGTGTGTGTAATAAATCATAGTTTAAACTTTATTTAAATTAGAATAGTAGCATTTCTGTGATGGTATTAAAAGTTAAAACTTATCATACTACATATTTAGTTCTAATCAAACCTTCATCAATTATAAATTTTGCGTCCTAGTTTAAAAGTTCATATCTCTCGTGACTTAACTTACTTTTTAAACGATGAAAGATAGAATAAGTTAAGTTTTAATTAATTTCTAAATATAGACGTAATGATGTGTGCAGCCGATAGAACAGTCATTTTTTGGTTAAGCCTAAAACACGCAACGCGGTGAATCAGAAGAAAATTCTTGCGATTATTTATTATTTGAATATAACTGTAAAATACTTGACTGGGAGTGATAAATTAATTGAATATTTATTGCAATAAAATGTATATGATGCTCTATGCAAGAAACAACCTTCAAAGAAATAAACTTAAAAAATTAAAGTTCTGAGAAAATTAAATATCAAAAATTTTGTATTTCATGTAAATTTTCTCAAAACTTCATATCATATGTCAGAAACGTTTATGGTAAAAACCAAGTCGAAATAGAATTTTTCTATTTGTGCTTCTTAATTTGTTGTATAATAACAACAAAACTCTTATACTTTAAAATCAAGACTTTGAAGTCAATATGTTAAAGTCCCTTTGAAGTCGAAAGAAAAATCCCTGTTACTTAAATGTTTAGATTAACCAATATTTTTCATTATTTTCTCCTATGATTTCTAATTCAATGACACTAGTTACAAATTTAAAAATAACTGTTCTTTAAAGTTTTGTGCATGTATTGTTTATTAGTTTCTGATAAAACTCGCATTCTTTAATTTGCAACTAAATAAATCATCTAAAATATACTCTGAAGTTTAATAAATGGTAATTTATAAAAGCCTTTTGTGTGATAATTCGTTAAAATGTTTGGTTATATTTCTTTTCCTTGCAGGTCACATGCACCCCAAGTCATTACAAATAAAAATATTTTACAGCAAGATGTACTTAATTTTTGATATTTTTCGAAATTATAATGTCCTAACATGGAAGATATGCTATTTAGATTACTTACTTTTCATGGAGTTTCTAATATAATTTGGCCGTATCTTCCCCTGCGTTTGGAGCCATTAAATTACGGCTAATGAATAGATTTGTCTTTGACCCACTGGCTAAATTGGAAGAATGTTTCTCCCCTATACACTAATTCTCTATCTAATAACATGGAAAAACCAGTTTTGCTATGAGGAGAAGGTTAAAATAAGACTTTTTACATGCAGAACCGTTAGTGGGTTAATATACTTTCTTTCCCTTACTTTGTTTGTTCTCTTCCTGTTTTGCTTCAGACTAAGATTAAGTTCCATCGTTTAATTTTCTTACCTTGAGTACCTACTGTACATTTTGTTTATTCCTCATTGCTTTGACTTACACTGAAGGAATGTGAAGAGACAGTCTCAAACTGATTAACAAATTATACAGTTAGATTTTTTCTTGATAGTGAAACACTATGTATAAACATTATTTTTTCTTTTTAGAATTGGTTTCACAAATATAAATTATTGAAAATTTAAGATTAGGCGAAAAAGTTTGTAGAGAATGAAGAGATTTTACCAAAGTCGCGATAAATAATGCTGACTTGAAAATCAAGTTTAAGATATTCATAAAATATTAATTTCAAACAGTTTCACATTTGAGTTCCAATTCAGTTAATAAATTGTCATTATAAAAATACTTCTAAAATGCAGATTCTCACATGAACTTTTGAACTTTTTTTTCTCATAACAATAGAATTTTTTACGAAGTTTATTTTTATGTTTCAGCCTTACCTTTTAAATCGCAAATATTAACGTTTCCGATTAAAGATTAAAGTCTCAAATTAAATAAACCTTTTTTTAGCCATCAATATTCCTCGTCTGATGAATATTGGTGGCATATTCAAGGTAAAATTGTAGACATTGAACAATAATAAACTATTTATATATCTTTAAAATAACAATGTAGATATTGCATAATTGTAGCAAATTACATATATGGAAAAAAATAATTTTTTCATTGGCCATTTTTTATTGACAACTTTAGTTTTTTTTATTTCATATCACTTTTGTTTATTTTCATTCGCGTCTGGCAAGTCTTGAAAATGGGCGCCTATTTTTGAAACGCTTGAAACATGTCGACTGTAATTTCCTATTAGTGCATTTTTGAAGCGAATGAAGTACTTTAATCAGGTCATATCTTACCGCTTCAGTTTTCTGGGATTATTTATTTAATAGCGTAAATAGCTTTAAATAAATAAAAAATCAAATATTTAGTTAAAATAAAAGCTGTTTGGTCTATTATAAACTATCAAGCTAAATTATAAGAATAAGCTGATATTGCACCAATCCGATAATTGCATTTTTCAACTCACCTCTTTCCCGTTCTTGGGTATTGGAAAAATCGATTTAGTAAAAATGGGTACTAAGAAAAATATGCTGTGAAAAGATAATTCTCTGCTGTTACTATACAGACTAACATTTTAAACAAGAAACAGTTAACTAGATTTAACTAAAGTTAACTAGATTTTAGTTCCGCAGTGGACTGATCGTAAAGACACCATTCCCAGTAGAACCCCGAAGTCAAACATCACTGACTGCGGTCAGTAAACGGATAAATGACTTCGTTAATCAGCCTGCGTAGGGATCGAGGATGCGCGGTATCGGTTTTCGTTAAACTGTTCTACCGTAAAGTGCTCTACTTCGCGCAGGTCGTCGGGCTAACAAAGCGGGGGAGCCATCCCCTCTGAAAAAGATTGAACTTGCGATGGTATGTCTTCGGATCATTGTCAGAGATGTTTCCTAAACCGTCACCAATAGCCCATTGGGCAGATCTAGTGCGACGTAAATAAAGTACCTACCAACCAATTTGATTTTAAATAATAATAGCTATTTTCTTCGTATTACTTAATCTAATTTAAGAATTTTAAAAAACAATAAATTTGTAAGTTTAAATTTTAGTATTTTAATGGAAACAATTAAATTAAACAAAGTCCGTTTTTTCAATAGTTCTCCCAAACTATGTCCTAAGATAGTCTTTAAAAAATTCATAAATCAATCAACCTTCAAATACTTACAATCTGGAAAACTGTTTTCCAAGTTGTCGACAAAAAGATAAGTAAAGAAGGATTGTGTTTGCTAGCATTTCATTTGCATGCATACTGTTAAAAATTCCTGATCAATTTACGGTAAAAAGTATCAGCACTCAGGGTGCCTGTACTTTTTACCGTAAAATCCATTTTTATCGGAGCATGTTAAATAACAAAAAACTGATTTATCGAATTTTTACTTTTATATTTACTGTAAAACTGATGAATCACTACAATTAAATAAATATTACTGTTAAAATTACTGTATAATATTTTACGGTAAAAATGAATTTCACTGTAAAATGGATTTTACAAATGATACAAAAAAACTGTCTGTACTTAATACCCTAACTTTATCTGGAAATCTTTACAATGAAGGGAAAAAATATTTACTCCTTTTTTGCTGATCAATTCTTGTTCAAATATGAGCTAAGAAACTCAATGATTGTGTCATAATTTAACCTATAAAATCGAAATTAATTTCAAAATTCAAAAACTTACTCTTTCAACTATTTTTGCAGCCATATTTATACGAAAAGAGAATTCATTAAGAAATTAAATAAGCATGAATGATAGAATTTCTGAAGATAAGAAACATGCTAAAAATTAATAGATATTTATTATATTTTTTAAAATGGGTGAAACTACAATAATTGTTCTAGACTGACTCCTTTACAGCAATATAAAACAATTTTGATCACATTCACTCAATAACGATCTTAATTTAATACTTCCAAACATACTATAAAAAAATATTTATTGATTTAGTGTATGGCATTCTAAAAAAATTTTCGAAGAAAAAAAATTATAAAATTCCGTTTGTAATCCAAAAAATAGTAAATATGTTTGCGAAAAACAATTCTATATCAGCATCTGTGTTAGAATTTAAAACATGAAAACATCCCTCCTGCAGTGAAAAATTTGAAACCAGCTCATTCGCTGTCAACATTAAGAAAGTTGAAGAGATTTCCAATTATAATTTGAGAAACCGAGAAGAAAAGGAGATAGAAAAAAAAATCTCCGACCACGTGTTTGGTTTTTCTCCGCATTACAGCTGATGGAATTGCCTCATCTATTGATCATCCCGGCGTCGGTCGAGACGAAGGGGGTATAGGTCTTCTTCCTAAAAATATATATATATTTCCTCCATTGTTTTTATTGCCGCCACTGCCGCTTGTCCGCCACTGCCGCCTGCGTGCAGCAGTGCCCGTCACATGATCCAGTGACGTCACTGCGGTGCCGAAGCATCTGGCCGTTGCAGCAACGGTGTTCCGACACTGTAGCATTCGCCAGTGCTATGTTCTGAGCTCCGTACCGCCCCGGTGGTACTTCTCCTAGCGATAAACTTTCTTCTCCGGCCGCCCTAAGCATGGCGACCGGTGCCCCTCCGGGCTGTTACCTCCTTCTTGTTCTGGCGCAGCCTTGCGCCGAAGAGCATAAGGAGCATATTTTAAGAAAAGTGGAAGAAGGTGAGTTTTTTGTTAACTTTTGCGCCCTTCATAGTTTTGCCCTTGTCCGGCAACCCCCGCCCTATTGTGAGCCATATGTAAAATTTAATGACACCGTCTGACTGCGGAATTATTTGCGGGCCATTTTACGCAAACGCCCGGCGGTCAACCTTAAGTCTCAATTTCATAAAATTAAACTTTAATGCTTGTTTATTAATTTTTATTCAATTCCTTCGAATAAATTATTTCTATTGCATTTTGTGTGCGACAGTTTATTTATGTACTGCTTTTCATTAAAAAAAATTATCAGTAATATGTAAGTTTATATGTAAGTTTTTAAAATATAAATTATTGAAAAATAATTAAAATTAGTTTTTTGATTCTAAAAAAAAATCAATCAAAATTAGTTTAGTGAAAAATAATAAATTTTTTTGAAAGTTTTAAATGTATAACTAGGCTCAGTATCAATTTTCATGCTATCAAAATCTAAGTCAAAAATAACAACTGTGATAATTTTTCTTCCTTTTGTAAAAATATTAAATGCAAAAAACATCCATTCATCGTTCATCCATAAGTGTATTAGTTCATATCTCTTTCTTTCTTGTTATTATTATCAAAGAATCTCCCAATAGTATTTAAATCATGAATACTATTGAGTTTTGAGATATAAATGATATTTTATAAATACTAACGAGTTTGTGTTTTTGCATTTCATTGAGTTTGTTTAGTTTTTCATTATTAAGAACAGCGAAGTTTTTTTTTCGCTCAGGAAATAGTTTTAAAAGAAATAAATTTCATCAAAAAGAAGTAAAACAAACAAGCGGTAAAATACGAAAGATAATTTCCAAAAAAAAAAAAAATAGCAATGAACACTTATAAGTGCATTAGTTATTCTTTTATTTTATTAACATTTTCTTATATTGCACTTTATTTTAAACTCGATAATTAGTTATGAGTTGAACGACGAAAAAACTTCCACAAAAAATGAGTGAATTCTCAAAATTTTAATGCATTTTTGCGCAGACAACAAAACTAAAGCATCTTTATAGTGACAAAGTGTACAATTTATGACACTACAGCTTTATTGACAGATAAATATTTTAACTGTGTGTAAATGAATCATCAACAAATTTCCACCATTTATATTTCACTTTCTGCAGCAATTTAAATTTTAAGTTTAAATAAATTAATTCAAGCATACTTCCAACTACTCTGTACCCATACCCATTAAACATCTATACTACCCCATATCCATACTCCCAAGTACTAAATATTCATTAAATTCCATTAAAGTGGGTATTTAGTACTTACACTAAAGCGTGTATCAAGTATTTCTACTCTAAACTATTGTATATATAATCTGTATAAATACCAATAATAATTTTTCAATAATTTAAATCATACACAAAAGTACTACAGTACTGCAATGCATCATGATAATAAGAAAATCACGCAATATTTATCTTTGTATCGGAGCTTTGTAAAAAGCAATATTATTTTGATGTCAATTACATATTTGTGATGAAAAGTATATTTTGAAAAACAACCTCCATTTATTTTAATAATAGTTTTTATTTTTTCCAAGTGCCTATGAATGCTCCATTCGTTCTTTTTTTTCGAGCAGAAATTTTTTTTTTATCTAGCGGACTACTACTTCATTTTCGATGGAGGTTTAGAGTGGGTTTTTTAATTGTCTCATTCCAAAACAACTATGATATCGAAACTTATTTTATCTCAAATTTTATCTTTAAAATGTTAAAGCTATTCAGAACAAATTAAATACTGTGAATGAATTTAGCGTGAAAATCGAAATATCGGTAAATCGAATCAGTTGCAACTCATTTTGAAACTATGTTGATGACAACGGTGATATTTAACTGCCAACCGTCACGAAACTTGATCATTGGAAAGGGGAAAATGATGTCTTTGCCAGCGATAATGAAAGGAAATAAAAATTCTGAGCACCAAGATTTATTTCTTATCGTCTGTTACCTTGACAACAACTCGATACTCAATACTCTCGAATTCAAGTGCATCTTCTTGAATATCTTAAATGCTTCAAATTAAAAAGGATATTTAACTTAAAAACCTTTTCCCAATAAATTTGAAATAAGGTTATTTTACTTAATAGAATTTCTTCATTGACTTTTGAGAAAATTTTTCAAATGTAAAAAAGCATGAAAATTTTTATTGATTTTTAAAATAAATTTCGAAAATGCTTTTGAATCAAGAAGTTAATCTGCGTTTTTAAAATTATGCTTTATTGAAATTACGATTAAGGTGACAAAAACTATTATTATCAAAAATATAGATTTGTACCATTGCAATGTATGAAACCAATGGATAAAATATGACACAAAGAAAATCTTAAAGAATGCTCAAACTAAGTAAAATTATTTTTTTTTAATAGTTACGCTTTTAGTTTTTTTTTCTAAATAAAGTATAACGGCCTCATTAAAGATACAAAGATGTAAACATTGATTTTAAATACCATAACGTATTTTAAAGGTCTCATATTACCTTCCATTTCTAAATCAATACTCATTACGAAATAACTTTTTTTCCACTTTAAATGATTTGAGTTTTTTATTCAAGAGGTTTAGGTATTTTTAACTCATATCAGATGGTTAAAAGTGATTTAAAAAAAGCAACTGAGTTTTAAATCTTTTTTAATTTTTTATTATTTTTTTCGTAATACTTTCTAGACTTTTCTAAAGAAGGATGATCTAAAAATGAAAAATATATTAATCCAGCAATACGATATAATTTAAGATCCATAAATTTGTTTTGAAATAAATAATAATTTACTTTTTATGAAAGCAAAATATAATGAAAGTCATAGGAACAGATATTGTTTCAGTATTGCCACAAGTACAATTAACAAAAGTGAGGTACAAAATATTTTAGCCCTGATGTTCTGTCTGCTTGAGCAGTGGTTCCAAAATGGGGTCCCGCGGAACCCTGCGGTTCCCTGAGTTAGTAGTTTTTATAACTAGTGATGAGTTCAGAAACCTCAGATTAAAATTATAATAAACCTATAATTCGTTATTTATTTAATATTTCTGTTGCCTTTAAGAAAAAACTTCAAGTAAGATGCCAATAAAATAGAAATGGCATTTTTGAAAAAAAATATTTCGAATAATATATTGAACAAATTAGATTATATTGAATAAAAGCTTCTCAAATCGATATAAAATAATTAAATTTTTAATAACGAAACATACTTCCTTATTAACCATTTTTAACATTTATAGCAGTTTTTTGTTAAGATTTCATTTCAAGGGAAACCACAATTTGACTTATTTTATTCATTTCCGGCTTCTGTATGTGCACCGAAAACAAATTCATAACTATACTATATGTAGCATAAGGACTGTGTTTATTCGCTAGTTCATATAAATTCCACTACACAAGAAGGATAACCAGAATCTTATAACAGCATTATTTTATTTTCAGCTATCTCTTCACTTGTTACACAAAAACTCTCACTTAGGTACACTGCCTGCTCATTACACGAATTATTTTCTCTCTAGGGGGAGCTACAATCTCTTTAACACTGAACAGACTGCAAATTTAACAGTCGGACATAAAACTTCATTTAATATTACTTCATTTAATAATAAAACAATGAATAATCCTCATTCCCCTAAATATATATTTAAAAAATAGTCCTTATTTAAGTTATAAAGTTCACAATTACTTTAATAAACTTTATTTATAAAATCGGATTTTGGCAAAAGAAGGTTTATTATTTAGGATACCGTAGCCGTAAAAAATCGGGAAGTGCTGTACTATGGTGCCGAAACTATTGTTAATCATAACCAAGTGTTATTTTTTGTGCTTTAATGCCCTGTCTTAAAATTATTACGAAAAAATTATTTTCGAAAAACTTAAGTAGTGGCCGAACTTTTAAACAAATTAATTTTTGATAATATCGATGTAAAATAAGTAATGGAAAAGTGCTTTTTGACGTAAGTGTATCAGTGTTTCTCATTAAAGTATAATATTATTAACAAGATAACAGATTACATTGCGGATAACAAACATAAGAATGTTTTTAAATTTTTCTACATATTAAGTGACTTTTAATTTTCTGCGTTCATTGCTAATACTAGCACATTTATTTTGATAAAATATGAATATTTTTATTTTACGTCTGAAAGTAATCTAGCAATAATTTTATTTAAACTAAAATAATTTAGCAAAATACATGGACTGATCACACATCAATCAATAAATAATGTACGCCTTAATATGAAAAGCGTACAATTTTCTTAAAGGACGAATTTTTAAAAGATTTTAACTATAACTTATAAAACTATGACATTTAATGCACATAAAGACAAATACAAACAAAATAAGCAGAATATCTAGGATGATCAAATATTATTCAATAGAAAATATACATCTAAGTATAAAAAGGGTACAATTTTTATAAAGGACGAACTTTTTAAAGATTTTAACTGTGACTTGTAAATCTACGGAATTAAATGAAAATAAAGTCAAATACAAGCAAAATAAGCAGAATATATAGTCAGCTCAAATATTATTCAATAGAAAATGTACACCTAAGTATAAAAAGCGTACTATTTTCCTAAAAGACGAACTTTTTAAAATTTTTAACTGTAACTTATAAAACTATGACATTAAATGCACATTAAGGAAATCTAATATTATATATCCCGTGGTTACCTCATCAGCGAAGATAACTTGAATACTTAGCGGTGAACCAATGTAAGATAAATGAAGGCATAGGGCTATCTGATTAATATCGTCTTAGTGATCGTGACAGAGAGATTAAAGACAATGATAATGCTGAAATGAGGTGAACCGGGTTCGAATCCCAGCAAAGACTAATCGATACGAATCTGTATACGGCTTGCATCGACCACAGTGCTGACGTGAAATTATCCTCAGTGGTAGACGGATCATGGTTTAGAGTCCCTTTGTAGTCAGGCTAACCGCGGTAGGTTATGGGGGTTAGTTCCATCAGAAAGTCCTCCACGAAGGCAAATTTTTAC